TTTTTTTTTCCAGACAAGTATAAGCATCTATTGGCTAAAATTATACGCATTTAGAGCACCTTTGATTACTTACTGTACTCGTCCGTTTCCAAGGTTTTGGCAACCATAATCACTTACCCTCACCAAGTTTTACGGACTCGATTGCAGGTGATCTTCCTCTTCTTTTTTTTTCCTTTTAAGATATTTAAATGGATCCTTGGAGATTAACTTTGCGTGAGTTGTTTCTTTTAACTCCTATCCTACGCACCCGTAGGAGCGGTGTTGTCAGATTTTCACGCAACAGTGATATCCTAAAGTAATTGAATTTCTAGGACCATCATACTGAATATAAAGGCATTGTGGACGTTATTTGGAGGACGCTAAAGATGGAAGGGATCAGGGGCTTGTATAAAGGTATGATAATTGCAAGTGTCCGCCAGCTGCCTGCTGCCGTGGTTACATTCATTACCTATGAGAACGTGAAGCACCTAATCACTAGCTGGGGCAGCTAGCACTACCAGCACTGTCCATCACCCCTTTGTACTTAGTGCTCAGCTCCCAGTAGGTGTCGGTGACCCGCTTGTTGTTCAGCCTTGCACAGCGGCTTACAACTCAGTAGGAATATATACATAGGATGGTGTCACATATAGTAATAATGTTGAGAAAACTATTCAGATTTGCTCATATTTTGCCGATTCAGGCTTTGTCTCACCGTTAACTTCATTTCCTCTGATCTTTTCTGTGAAAAACTAAGACTTAAGGCGTCCGTTGTATTTCTTTAACGACTTCCCATTACCTTATTGGTTCCCTCTAGCTTAACATGGGAGAAAATGACATTCCAGATTGTTCTTTAACGCTGCAGTGTTTGAACAGTGTAGAAACAGTGCAAAATGAATCTATGAGATTATTTAATCAAGATAATTTTAAATAAACAGTGACTGTAAAATTTGTTAAATCACATAAAATATATCCATTCTAAAAGGGTAAAGTCTAGAGTGGAGCGTGTAAGTGGCAGAATAAATCTTACGGGCACATTTCAGCTCGTACAAGACAGGGGTACGAAAAGCTACACAGATTAGTGAATAATATAAACCAATGCTTAAAATCCCGTCTTTTGGAACCAGGAGTCTTAATGCAAAATGTACTGCGCAAGCATATATAAATAGTGTTTTGCGGTTCATGACGATTTGTTAAAATAGTCCTTTAGCGTTCTAACTGATGCAGATTTCCTCTTGTTCCTTGCTAAGGGAGTCCCGAACTGATCGGTCTGAACGTCTAAATTTTCAACATCCACTCTTCCTCCACGCTTCTCCCTGTGCGGAGTTTTGGGAGTGTATCGTGCAGCCGCTATCTTCCCAGACTCCTGAAGTTTCTGTTTCACCACTAATTTCCTTGGTGATAGATTGATCTTGCGTTCTAAAGCTTTAACCATCTTAGAGCAGTTAGAGGCCCTGAAAAATATAAAAGATAAATATATTACAAAGCCTCATTTTCTCTCTAAAAAGCCTTCAGAACCACTAGCTCTTTGAGGAAATTAAAGCCCGAGAAACAGTATTTATGTAGAATGTGGAGAGGGAAACCGACGGTTTAGTCAAAGCAATGTAATCCTCCATTGTTCCTTTGAGACCTCGCTTGCCACTTTGCGCTGAAGAACAAACTAAAGCACTTCTTTCTTTCGTTTTCATCAGCTCTCTCTCTTTGACAAAATCAGGCAAGTTTAATGTCGGAAACCTGAAGTTCTAATTAATAACAAAAAGTTAACAAGAGAAAGTAGGACGCAGAAAAAACCAGACGTCGCATGACAGAAACCGAATGTCAATTCAGAGGTTTTAAAAAGCCCTTTACCTACACCTAAAAAAATAGTTTGAGTACATAATGGCACACTGACTTCATATGGAAGAAGTTTACAGGTTGCTCCTGAAAAACTGGACCGCTCCTTTTGTCTCCATCATTAAATTCTAGCTTTCTTCTTGCAAAACCACGCACATGTTCATTAATAATGTTCGTGATCGAAGATAGAGGGGAAGATATATGCCTGAATATTTCAAAAGCATAATGCACACCCAACGACATTTAAAAAAAAGATTTAAAACAAAGTAATTTGTCAGGCAACTATAAATTACGATTTAATCGGGTTGGGACGAGTAATAGATGAAAAATTCGGTTTTACAAAAAGGGACATACCTAAAGATTTTGTTGGCCGGAGAGAACTTCTCGCCCACAGGAAACGGCTTAGAAGGGCTTACAAATGGACTAACAAGTTTCCGTTTCCTTATTTTTTGTGATTCTGAATTGACTGAGAGCTGACTCCTGCAAACTGCTACAGTACCTATACAGCCTAAAGAATCCAGAGCACACAACCATTAAAAACTAGAAGCGAACTAGAGAAATATACATCTTAAAGGAATCTGGAACAGTTTCAGGCAGGCGGAAGTACTCAACACGTTCAAGACCGGCAAAGATTGAGGAAGTAGTGTTTTCAGCGAGATGAGGCTTCCATAGTCTCCACTGTGTGTCATCCATAGAAACAATGTATTGCCCACAACTGCTTATTCGTACCACCCTCACCTTTAATAGATCCCAACAAATAACTAAATTTAAGTGCTAGAAAAATCAAGCTGCTTGACCCAGATAAATGTTATTTGTATTCTTACCTAGTAAACAGTTAAGAAGTAGTAGAACTTATTAGACGTGACAACTCTGTCCTTATCTGTAGGATCATAATCAACTTACTTCAGTTTGATGACCTCCCAGAACAAACTTTGGATAGGGATAATATTCCATAACTACCTCACGATCCCTAAGGCGTTTTCTTTGTTCCTTGAAAATGATGGTATACAGAATTGAGAAAGGAACCGTAGTTCTCATGTTAATATTCTAAGTTATAAATAGTCTAATGGGTGAACCAAAATTGAAAGAAATTGGAGAAAGAAAATAACAGTGACCAATAAAGGACGTGTCTGTTCCATCTCTAGCAAATAGAGGGATAAACTATAATGCATGTTTACAGTTTGTTACCTGGAAATCCCATATTAAACCGTGGTCACCACCAGTCCCAAGCAATAAGTGGTCTGAAATTGGAGAAGAAGCTAGACGCACATCAAATGCATTGAACTCCAGTTTTGGGACTCCGCTAAGCGCTGCTACTAAAAAGGTCATATTCTTGGAACTGGATATCTCCTGATAAAGAATTATCAAAAATTATTTCTGCGCAGCCAGAAAAACGGCACCAGGAGATTCCTTGGATGAACGGATGGCATATTCATACAGACTTGAGTCAGTACAGGCAGCGAACAGTGAAGAACGAAATCGATCTAGACACACCGAGGCAATGCCTGAAAAATTTCTTTTGAAAGAGTTTTCTGTAAAATGGGGGTCAAAAATATCACGAAATTCAGTTGCAGAAAATATCCGATAAAAAAAAATATGTGTGTAGAATTAGGTGACCAAAATCCCGCGCGTTTCGCGTCTGAGGAACTTCTAATACTCTCAGCGGACGCTTTTTGCTTCTGTACCGCATGTCCCATAAACGAATACCCCTTAAAAGTTTTGCCGTGCTATACGGATACAACACAAAAGAGAAGTAGGTCATGTGAATTAACTTAAGGAATTGAGAAGTAATCAATATTCAAAGTTTAACTTAGTAGTCAAAAAATCACGAGCGCTTCGGAAATTTGAGCAAAGTAAGCATTTTTGACCAGTATCACAGAACTTACGTTTTAAATGAAGTTGAACTAGAAACAATGGTATTTTCGTCTATATATATTAATGAAGTGATTCCAACTTGCGTACTTGACGTTCTAGAAGCCGCTCGTTGCTTTTTACGACTATGAGTGTCTGCAAAGGGAAAAAAATGAAAATCGGTAATCAAGTGGAGACTACCACTACCAGTTTATACGAAACAAAGAAAAAAAAAACCCAGTTTCTCAACGAACTTTGACTGTCGAAAGAGAAGTGAGCATCAACTACAGTGCTAACCGGCAAACGAGCTCCCGACCGATTAGGATCAACTCTCTGATCCCACTCACATATCATGCCATCACGTGAACCAGTAACAAAAACATCTAAAGAATGGCACTACAAATAGTACAAACAAAAACGAAAACAATACTAACAGTCCCAACATCCATTAAAAGTAACCCACAAAAAGCTCTGTTGAAGCTGACATAACCCTTATCATACCTGGATTAAATGGAGAAACTGATAAAGCTCTTACAGAGCCTTCATGACCTTTGAATGCATAAACTCGTACTGACTTTTCAAAATCCCACAAACGAACGTTAGAATGACCAGACAATGAGATCACTTGGAAAGGCTTTTTGGGTATAAATTCTAACTCCATTATACAACTGCTGTCCCCTCTTATCGCTGAAACAATTTACTCAGATTATGCGAAGTTTTAATACGCCTTAAAAGCTACTCCAGGATAAATCCATGCTGTCGCATCACAACAATCATAACCGTTAAAAGAAAAAGAGCTAGTGTTCTGTTCGTCAAGCGTCGGTGGGACCATCATTTAAACTAATAAGAGCGAGTGGTAACAAGTGAGTAAATTTTATACCCCGAAAGGCTATCTTAAACGCTGTAAGAAAACATCTTTCAACTATAAACAAAAATACCTAAAAAATAGTAGTGACTGAAAAAAATTGAGAAGTTGAAGCGGAACTAATTGAAAAAACAACTTCTTTAACAATAGAAAAAATTACACTGCTTTATTAACTTTTCATTCGAACACTCAGAGGCGTAACGTACGTCGACCACATAGAAATGACCATCCTGATCACCGACAAGAAGCAAGTGTTCATATAACAAGTCAGGAGAAAACTGACATGTTACCCAAGAAGCCTGTAATCGCACATATATCATATGAAAAAACCATAGATCTTACAGCAGTAGTCGCAGAATTAATAATGAAGAAAACACTTAATTAAATAATCTTGTTCAGGTGGTCCATAAGCAGTCAGAAACATCTGTTGCCACACCTGAGAACTATGAGCGCAACCGGAACAAAAACTCTTGAAATAAATTTCCGGCACAAAATTTCCGTGACAGCAGCCATAGTTATTTCGGCTACACATAACCAAATAAATTTATCCGCTTAATCGTTTTCCCTGCTATGAAATTTTGCGTTTTCCACCTGTCATAAACCTGTAATAAAATCTTAGTTTTCAAAAAACTTACAACACAGATTGCTCAATAAAAACATTCCACTCGGTGAAAACAAAGAGTATACGTTTAAGTTTTCACCTTAACAGTAGCTTATCAGAATCGAAATAGCCAGATTTTTCAAAATTGAAGGATGAAATACAACTTACGCTTCGCTCTCTACATTCGTGTAGTTACACCTATCATAAAATTACCACTTTTAAGCCGGAAGTATTAAAACTTAATCTGCAACTCAGCCTTAAACTGTTTGCGAAAGCAAAGATACGAGAAAAATAGAAAGAAATAAATCCGAATGTGGTCCTCACAATAATAAGTCCTCTAAGTTGTAGACAATTCGGTGAGACCTTCTCACATAAAACAATCTAGCAAATTTCACGTGTCTTATTAAACAGTTAATTTTAGCATTAGAATTCAGAAAAACCCATGTCTACTATACCCGCT